TGAGTAGTTGTTGTCCCGCCAAAAATGAATCAAATCAACTTCTAAAATTTTTGATCAAAGTTGAAAATTAGTTGAGTTGTTGTTGTCTTTAAAAAATGAGTCAAAAAAACTTGTAATATTCTTTACCCAAAGTTGAGAAATAGTTGAGCAGTTGTTGTCCCGCCAAAAATGAGTCAAATCAACTTCTAAAATTCTTGATCAAAGTTGAAAATTAGTAGAGTTGTTGTTGTCCCACAAAAAAAGTTAAATAAACTTGTAAAATTCTTGACCAAAGTTGAGAAATAGTTGAGCAGTTTTGTTATCCCGCCAAAAATGAATCAAATCAACTTCTAAAATTCTTGACCAAAGTTGAAAATTAGTTGAGTTGTTGTTGTCTCAAAAAAATGAGTCAAATAAACTTGTTAAATTCTTTACCCAAAGTTGAGAAATAGTTGAGTAGTTGTTGTCCCGCCAAAAAAAAAAAGAGTCAAGTTGTCCCGCCAAAAATGAGTCAAATCAACTTTGAAAATTCTCGATCAAAGTTATAAAATGGTTAATATTTTTCTATTAAAAAATGTAAAAATCTGTTGGAATGATTGATAAATGTTTGGATAAAGGATTGAGAAGTATTAAAAAGGAAGAAGGAAGAAGAAGAAGAAGAAGAAGAAGAAGAAGAAGAAGAAGAAGAAGAAGAAGGATTGATCAGTGTTGTGTTTTGTGTGTGGGGACAAGTAGAACAATCGCGTGTAATCGCACGCAATAATCCTAAAGAGAAAGTGGGCTAATGCGGATTGGAGAATAATATTCGACGCCTTTGTTTCTCGTTAATCTCTCGTTTATGTCCCTCGTATATATATATATAAATACCTACGTATAAATACCAACATATACATGCATGTGTAGGAGAACTGCTGTTAAAAGTGCAACAGAAGAAATGCTTGACTTACTTCGCGGAAGTATATACACAGTGTGTAAAAAGTATTTTCAACGTTTTATTTTACAAATGTGCACGCATGCACGCACGTACGTACGTACGTACGTTTTATACACGCGTGTTATGTTTAACCTTTTGCTCATGTTCCCTTGTATTATTCTATTCGTTTCTTATTAGATTATGCTAACAGATAATTCTGGAACGAATAGAATGAAAAGATAAAGATAAAGATAAAGAGAGAGACAGAGAGAGAGAGAGAGAGTGTATGTAATTCCAGAAGGTTCTTATCTAATCGGATTATTATTTTGAGCAAGCAAACTTTCGTGGATGGACAGGAAGTGAAGGAAGTAAAGAAAGGAAGGAACGAAGGAAGGAAGAAAGAAAATAATCCAAATGAAAAATAAATTCAAAAAGTATAATAAAATAATAATCGGGTCCGTAACATATGTGTGGGTGTTGTATGTGTTATGTATTGTGTGTGTGTGAACAAAGTTTTAGACTCGTGTGAGCTGTTTTTACATACGATTCACTTCCGCTTGAACATATTATTTTTTTGTTCATTTTATTTTATAATATATAATATAACTTTGTGTTATATAATATATATATTGGAAAGTTATATATTATATTATTAGAATTAAAATAAAATAATATATTATTTATTGAATAATATATATATATATATATATCAAATCTCCCATTATTATATTTGAAGTTTGTACAAATTTGATAACAATTTGTGTATCTCATTTAACAAAAATATGATTTATCCCTAAAGATTCAAAAAAAATTCACCAGTGTTTAGTCTGAACGTACAAAACATTTCCTGGTTTGTACACCTCAAATAATTTGTAACTAGATCTTTTATGTTTTTATTGTTTTTTTTTTTTAATGGTTTAAATGTGTTGAATGAAGATCAAAAAACAGTTCGTCGTCAATTAAGAAAGAAAATAAAAAAAGATAAAACACGTGGTGATATGTTAGTTAGGGTTTGGTAGTTTGSTGCTGGTGCTGCTGCTGCTGCCGTTTTGTCTGTAACCAGAGTTTTACGATGATGGATGATGGAACCGTGTAAAATAATATAAAGGGCCCGTTTTTTTTTTGTGTGGTTTCCCTGTGAGAGAGATAGTAAACTGTGCTGGTAGAAATTAAAGTGGTTTAACGGATGAATTAGACCTTATGCGCGATTATGATGGTGGTTGTGAAGAGGAGGTCGTTGACCATCATGCAACCAACGAGCCAATGTTCTCTCACTCATGTGTTTGTCTTCTTATAATGTTATGTGATGTTATTCTTCCCCAAAAAAAAAAAAAAAAACAAAACCCATTCATAATTTTCAATTATTATTACAAATTAGATTTAAAAATTCATCAAGTTGTTCACAAATGAACAAATCCCAACCAAGTTTCATAACAAAACGTTAGCTGTAATGAATTTTTTTCTTTATAAATATAAATATGAAATGCACTAGAAGTTTTGACTGATAATTTTGTCTTCATAAAATAATTGAATGTGTGACTAAAACCTTTGATCTTCAGATATGAAATTTGTTGAAACTCCCATAAAGATTTGTTTTCTAAATTGGAACGTCATTTACAGTAATCACTGGGTGTATAAAATACTTGTTGAACTTGGTGCTAATGAGTATTATAATAATAATAATTATATATATATGTTTATTTTATTATTATTATTATTACTTTGTTTTTCTTGAAGAATATAATATGGGGATTCTCTCGTTAACTCGAAGTTTACTTTTCTGTTTTTTTGTTTGTTTCTTTTCTGTATAAACTCTTGCAAGTTCTCCAGGTCAGTACTGGTTAAATGTTTTTTTTTTTTTAGCTGAAAACGTGTATATAGGTTTGTTATGTATGTATGTGTGTGTGTGTGATTTGATGGATAGATGGATAGATAGATCACAGGAGAATCCTTTGGTAAATCTAGAATAATTCTCTATGATGATGGATGCTGTTTTCCTACTTGATCAGAGTTCAAATAAAAATGTAAAATGGTTAGAACGTTAAGAAGAAGTCAGGTATCGCAAGTTGTTGTTAGTAATATAAGCCAGGAAAATGATCATTTCACTTAATCGTACTTCCTCCTATGAAAGATCGCCTCCAGTTGAATACCGTCTTTCAGAAAGTGGCTAATGCTGTTGCTTTTGCTGCTGCTGCCTACCTACCATCTCACTCTAAACCTTCCCATGTGTGTTGTACACACATGTATGCATGCGTATTTATATCTATGAGAATGTGAATATAGTTGTGTTGTGTTGTGTTGTGTTGTGTTGGTTTAGAAAAAGTATCGGCACGGCCCACATTAATTCTATGAGAGGATAAAAGATGGACGAAGCGAAATGATGATTGTGGTAGGTAGGTAGGTAGGTAGTTGTGTTGTATAGTGTTGGTTATAAACTTGTGTTCTATAATTTTGTTCAATATTATACTTTATCGAAAGTAAAGAGAGAAAATAAAGAAAGTAAAGGAAGAAGATGGATTGAAAGTATAGAAATCGATGAGAGAGAGAGAGAGAAAAAAGAAAAAGCATTTTTTTGTTATGTGTTACAAACAATATGTCGTTTTATATCCGATAATTTGTAATTTATTAGCTTATGTTTTTAAGATAGAACAAAAATATAGTGATTTTTATTTGTACAGGTTTATGTTTGTTAATCAAACGTTGTTTATTGGTTTTTGAATGCTACCAAATTTCGGATGTTTTTCGATTACGATTATTGGACTTATTATAGGGTTTTGTTATATTTTATTGTTTTATAGGTTTTGCTGTGGCCACATGAATACTTTCGTTTATTCATAGGAAGAATGGGTATTGAACTCTTTCGTCAAATTCCCCTTAGACATAACATTCGTGATTCTTAAAATAACTATTGTAGTTTATCACGCTATTTCAAACTATTGGTTATAAGTTAAACAGACGTTGTTGTTGATGGATTTAAGACTATCGGAAGTGACTCAATGCTTTTAAACTTTCAGCCCTTTTCTGTTTCACAATTTCATAATATTCTTGATCAACGATATTCGATATATATATATATATTTTTCTTTTCAATACAATATTTGTAAATTCAATTTAAATTAACAAAAAAAAAAAAAAAATAAAGTAGAGATAAAATCAGTATGGTTAATAATGAGAGACCAAAATAATTAAAACAAATTATCCCAATTTTAATCCCAAGGAACAACGACGATACTATTATTACATATTTTTAATTATCAACACACACACATACACATTCACTCATTCATTCGTGCATGTATTTTGTCCTAATTATTTAGAAACAGCATAAACGTTGAAATCGAAATACCGACCGTGAGAAAGAAACTAAGATTGACTGCAGCTTCGTTGGGTATAATTTAACGGTTAATGGTAAAAGAGAAGAAGGAAGGGGTCACACATGTCAAGTAGTAATGTTTTTTTTTTTTTCAAAGTCACAGAGAGGTCCAATGAAAGATCTCTTTCTGTTGATCTCTCAGTCTTTCTAAAAGATCGTTTTTCTTTTCGTTAATAATATCCCACGATATTTGTACCGATTTCTTATCTTTTTTTTTTTTATATAAAAATTCAGTTTCAAAATGTTTGTCCTACAATAACTCGGAAATTAGTTGACAGATTTTAATGAAAATTTTTGTTTATTTTGTGTCATTTGTTCTAACTTAAAATTTAGATTATTTGTTGTGTTTTATTACTAAATTAATGTAAAAGTTATGGGTCTCTAGGTTTTGTAAAAATTTCAATAGATGGCAGTGTATTACAATTCAATTATTTTGCTATATTCACGTCGTACAGTTTTCTTTTTTTCAGATTTTCATATGACAATCCTATTGTTAATTTTTATCTTGATCTGTAGGTTCTGAAAGATTTTCAATAGATGGCAGTGTATTACAATTCAATTATTTTGCTATATTCACGTCGTACAGTTTTCTTTTTTTCAGATTTAACATAGGACATAACTAAACTTACTTTTTACATTTGAAATAGTTAAGAATAATATGAAATAAATAAAACAGTAATGCATCATGACTAGAGAGCATCCTGTTAATAAATCGTTTAATATATCTGATTTCAGATACTTCAACGAGACATAGAGGCACACGGGCGTATCGTATGTTCTGTCGTGAAGTTGAGCGAGAGAGTGTTCAAGCAAAGACAACAACAGTCGTCCCAGTCATTGAGAATTGCAAGATCACTCGAACGTCGTTGGCATCTTCTTTTTTTACGTGCACTCGAGTGGCAGTGTCACATTGAAACTTTGGTATCCCGAGCCAGCAACAAGGTAAACAATTTCATCAAAATTAAATCATTTCATTCAAAAACAATTAAACACATACATACATACACACATTATCATTTAGATCATTTGAAATTTCTTTACCAATCGATATTCCTGCCCTCGATGACTAATAAGTTTCACTTTGAGATATATACCAAGACACGTCATGGAATAAGTGTATGTGTGTGTGTATTTATGGGATGCTAGCTAACAGCCTCCTAAGTCAGCTAGCTGCTATAGGCTTTTATCTTTATACGAAAGACACAATAAATCATCGAAAACTTTCACGCGAGATCAGCCTATTCAGCATCGAAGATGTCCTAAATTCAAACTTTTCATTGGATGCTGCTGTTAGTGCTCCTGCTGGCTGTTAGCTGTTAGCTAGCTGTTAGCTGATGTGTTACTATTTTCTGTTACCTTTCTCAAAGATAATTACGGTAACGATGAGAATACAAACTTCGTATGTGTTAGGTGATTAGAGTTAGTTTACTCTTGTGAACTTCCTTCTTAGGATCCTCATCCTCATCCTCATCATTATCATCATCATCCTATTCTAAAGTTTGGTTAATGATGTTTTTTATATTAAAAAAATACAAAAGTATAGGAAAAAGGTTGATCAAGATGATCAAACGTCGTTGTTACGTATGTGAGTACTTGTCGTTTGGCACTTGAGTGTATCGATGCATGACTTCCGAGCTGCATACGGCTTTTGTTTCTTAGAGGAAGAGAGTAAGAGAGTGAGAGAGTGAGAGAGAGAGATAGCTTATGCAATGAGTTATCCTGTTCCACAGGATACCCAGTTAGAAAAATTTCCTGTTCATGTATGTGTGTGTGTGTGTGTGTTGCTTTACCTTTATCGTATGTACCTTGTTCTCGATCAGTACCACCCCACCTTGGAAAAAAGATCAGATTTGTTCTCTCTTTAGACATTGATCTTTGTTGAATTTATTTTTTTTTTATAAAAAAAAAAAAAAAGAAAATTATCTTCGTCAAGATATTTATCCTTATCGTTCTTCTAACGGTTCACGAAGTTTACACTAAATCCTTATCAACATGTTTATGGGGGTGGTACACTCTCTAACTGATTGGTCATATTTATTCAAGTTAGAATTTGGTTTGTTTGTCAATTAGTGTTACTGTATTTGTTGTTAGATAAATTGTACAAAATTATTATCAGATGTTGGCAATCTCATTCGATTGGATTACGTGTGTTGTATTGGGTTTAGTTTGAAAATACCATGAATGCAGTCAGAGTAGTGTGTTGTTCGTAGATCTCTGCTTACAAGAAAAGTCTAAGTCTAAGAAGAATTCCTTCTTCTAGTAACAACATTTAAAAAAAAACAAAAATGATGGAACATAGAGAAAGATTGAGGCCCCGTTATACTCGCAAACTTAACATACCTTTCTTCTAGTATTGGTTTGACCTTTTTCTATACTTTTCTTTTGTACGTTGCTTTTTTTTCTTTTTTTTTTTTTCTTTTTTTTTTATCATTAACGATGCAAGATTTCAATTCGAGTGAATATATGTGTTGGTTAGGTAACCCAACTCTCGTTGGAAAACATGAAAAGATCATCGTCACTATCGTTTCCATAGTGACGATTTTATCAGACGATAAAAGTAGTAGTCGGGTTTTGATAATTCCCCTGCATGTTAGGTTAACGTTTTATATCAGAGAGAGGGTGTCTCGTTTCACGTAAGATAACATATTGATAATAGCTACCAGTTTGAAATGAAAGAATTTTCCAATAGAATCCTTAGGAGTAATCAAACATACATTTCTTTGTATTTGAGATTAACGTAATGGTGGGGTTTGTCATAGAAGTACGTACACCTTTGTTTGTTTCTATATCGATTAGGCAATTGGAAATTAATCAGACACCCTTTATATATACACATTAGTTTTTAGTTACGACGTACGTGTGTGTGCTACGTAAATATCTTTCGTGTATATTTCAGAGTGGCGTTTCTTGCCAATGCAGTAGCGAGAGCGACGAGGAGCCGGTCACGAAACAACCCAGGTTGAGTCGTAGCAGACAATCTTGTGGCTCCGGAAGAGAATCTCCTGCCTCTTCTACTACCACTACTACTACTATTCCTACCACTAACACCAATACTAATACTACTACTACTACTACAACAACTACAACTACAACTGCCAAGTATCTACGTTCCAAGCAAACAAAGCGTCTTAGGTCTCGAGTACGGAAAGATTCCGGTACTAACAGTTCAAGAAACGATTTTTCAGACAGCGATGCTTCATCCGAGAATCGATCCATCGATGAGGAAGGATCTTACTTCGAGGTTTGTATTATCTATCGATTTTTCATTTTCATCATCATTCTTCATGATCCTGATTTCTTCTTCTTCTTCTTCTTCTTATTATTATTATTATTATTACTATCTACTTTTAATTATCAATTCTGATACTAATCTCAACATGTTTTAACCTCTTTTCAGTTGAAATCTTTAGAAAACGTTTAGGATTAACAGTATATCATCTATCTTTATCTATTTCTATCTTTATTTCTATAATTATGACGCCGGATTTTCTTTCGAGCCAGTAATTATCGGTACCCTCCCCCCTCCCCCAACAGTTGAGATTAGTGCAGACTGTTGTTTTACGTGTAGAGGGGGAAACTAAGAGTTGGGCCTGGGAGTTAGAGGGGCCCAGGGGAACGGGACAGGGCGAAAGGTTTCGAGTGGGGGAAAAGGTAGATATGGTAGAGTAGGGGAATTTCAGTCTCGAGAAACACACTTTGATGCCAGCACGAATATTTCTCAGTCACGGTGTGCACAACTCGGGTCGCGTCCGTAGTTTGTCGAGCTGTGTGTTCCTTCGAATTCATTTCAATCTTCTCTTCTCTTTATCAACCTAACCTCTATCATCACCATCCCACTCATTCATCTATCCTCTGGTGTTTAATCTAACTTTTACTTTTCATCATTGTGCTTGAGGATGATTTTTGAGTAACTCCTGAGTGTGTAAGTTTAAGAAACATCAGCAGATTTTTTTTTCTTTCTTTCTTGGGACTTACTTTGATTTTGAAGAATTTTGCTTATCCAATTCATTGAACAGGAAAACGGGGTGAGAGAGAGAGAGAGAGATAAAAAGAAAGGAACGTGCGCTAAGAAATTGGACGCGCACGTGCATCATTGGATTCTTTACCTGCCTTACCTTGCTTACCTGTGCCTACCCTCTACCCACTACTACTCACTCACTCTCTGTTCTTGTTTGGCTTCGGGACCTTTTACAAAATCTCGCATTACCTGGCGAAAGTCTAGATTCATTTTTTTGGTTTTATTTTTTTGCTGCACGTTTTTATCATTTTTTTGTTTTTTTTTTTTGTTTAATCAAATTCCTTTCATTTCTCTTCCACGTTTGCAAAGTTTCACAAGAAGAGAGACGAAAGATTTAACTTACGAAAGAATTTCATGCAATAGAAAGAGAGAGAGAGAGAGAGAGAGAGAGGGTTCAATAACCTCGAGTGAGAAACGTTGCAATTTAAACACTCGAGTTCGATTACTGAATTAATGTTGTTGAGATCAAACAAAAAAAAAACAAAAAACAAAGGTTCTTGTTTTTGATTGCAGGATGAATTATGTCAATTCTGTGTGATGGATGCTAGATACGAGGAGACTGAAAATTATTCAAATAGAATATTATCATCATCATCATCACACATTAATACTAGTCTAGCGATAGAAACGGGTGATCAGGGAGAAGAAGCTGACGTAGAAGAAGAAGAAAGAGACTACGACATGCCACCGACACCTAATACCGTACCGATGACGTCTACGTCCAAGACGACGACTATAGTAAGAAATCAGCAACAGCAGCAGACGGTTGAACAGACGAAAGAATCCGTAACGTCGAAAGAGACTTTGAAGAGGCGTCGTTCACCGACTCCATCTACAACAAGTGCATTGCCAGTTGAAGAAACTGCATCCTTTAACACGTAAATAATTTTTTTTTGTCAACATTCTGCTAGACCCAACCCCTACTTTAAAAGATTGATCAATTATTTCCCCAATATGTCTATTATTTTAAACAATATTAACAAAGGGTGTACCCCAAATGTTGTGATTTGATTTACAGGTCTGACAGAAAGTCAAAGAATTGTGCAATTTTTTACTTCAAACATTTGGATACGGATTCCGAGGTGGATTGTTGTCAGACAAACGAAGAATCCACAAACATGGTGGATGATTCTTCCGAGGAAGAATGGACGTACACATCTTCACGTGCTGCTAACGATTACGTTTGTACAGAAGAAAGGAAGACCAACGTGGTTGTTCGATTGGATTTCAATGAGACACCACGTGTTAGCGTTACGGAAAAAGTTAGATTCGTTGATGATGATAATGAGGATAGAAGAATGATGGCTGATGTCAAAGAGAATGAGGAGGAGCATGTTGAAAAAGAACGAGTATCGGATAGATTGGTGGTGAAGAATGTCGAGCACGATGAACAGGAAGAAGAGGAGGAGGAGGAGGAAGAGGAAGAAGTAGAGGAAGAAGAGGAGGAGGAGGAAGAGGAGGAGGAGGAGGGTTCTGCAATAGTAACAGGAGAAACGATAACGGATGCTCCGGAAAAGGATAGCGATGACGATGCTAAGAGCGACCAAGTTAGCATTGGAAGACTGATAAAGGAAGTTGAAAAATTGGTTAGGGAAGAGAGACAGGCTAATTTCCCTCGTACATTTGCACCTTTAATATTTGAGGAAAAAAAGGGAACCGCGATGAATCATCGTGCCAAATATGCTCGTATTAAGGAATGGTTGAGAATGAACTCTGCGACAAGGGGTCACGAAGTTACCAGGAATGGATTGTTGCAGGTTGGTTTAACTTTTTCTCCTACTCTTCTTCTTCTTCTTCTTCTTCTCGACACTTGTGATCTAGTTGATGATCCCCCCCCCCCTACCCAATTAATGTCGTTTTATAGTCCCTAGACAGTTGCGACGCGAGTGGGGAATACACGACAGAGGAATCCGATGGGGAGAGGCAATCAGTCTCATCAGAGGATCTTCAGAGTAGTGTCGCGACCTATCGTCGCTTCGAAAGCGGTGCTCTAGGCTGTGCACAATCTCAATCAATGTCGCAAGAAATAATAGAAGATTTAGATAAAACACCGGTTAATGATAATCATCGTCCGGTTATGATGTTGGATAACAGTTGTTGTAGTATTAGTAACAACAACACGTCCAAAGTTGTTATGCGTTCCAGACAGAAAAGCAACGGTCCTAGACCTTGGAGCGTTTCTTGCATATCGCAGATAGCTTCGAGCTCTGCATTGAATCAGGTCAACGATTCTATCTCACAATTCTCGATCTCGCAATCGGAGACGGCACTGCATCAACTAGTTGTTTCACCTCCAACCAAATCTATTTCATTGGATGCTACGTAAGTATAATTAATTATTGTTGATGATTATGATTTAATAATGTGCATCTTATGTTTGTTTGTTTGTTTTTTCTTTTTTTTTTGCAGTGGTTCGCCTAAGTCATTTAATAATTCAACATCTACGTTGTTGGAGGAATCGATCATTTGTCAAGATGGTCGTACTGCGAGAAACAGTTCTTTACGTAGGAAGAAAAGTAGGCTGAGGAAGAAACACTTGGTAAGAAAATGAAAGGTCTTTTGAATTTTCATCAATCTCCGATCTATTTGTGACGATCTAGTTGTTCGTTTCTTTTAATGTGTTTTACATAGGGTCGGAAAAGTGGTTCTAGTTCCGAATGCGTTAGCGGACATCATCATTCGGCAGGAAGCGATGGTAGTTTAAATCAACAAAGATCACCTCGCAAAACTAACGCCAATCGTTGTGGTGGCGTATTGCGTGCAGTTCCGAGAGAATGTTACGGACATTCGAATACTACTCTCGTGAAATCTGGTTCATTCTCAGGATGTACAGCTCATCAACAGTTAAATACTGAAACTACGACGACGATGACGACGACGTTGGCCGTGGGCGGTGATTCTTCCTCTTTAGTACATGCCGCAATGCCTTGCTGTCGTCGTGACTTTATTTCATCTAATGAAACGGAAGAAGATCAACGCAGTTGCATCAAAGGTTGTTCCACTTATGAAGACAGTTTGTTAGACACCGTACTCAATAGCAAAGAACTTTGCAATCGTCAATCAAACGTTGACAGCGATATTGAAATGAACAGCCTCGGTAATAATTCTTTCTCCGAACAAGCATGGGATAATTATCAGGTACGAATGCTCATTTGTATTTGTATTTATTCTAATTTTTGTAATTTAACCCTTTCGGTTAATAATTGGTGGAACGGTGTAGAGTTGTTTAGTTTTCTGGCGCATGAACGGACGCCATTTGCATAAGACGCTAGTAACGAAAGGATTAATTACTATATTTTCATTTTATCTTGGCAGAAAGAACTACTTGTATTATTATCTTTGGTATTTGTGTAAATAAATGAAAAAGAACAGTTCTCATAATTAATTTACAGGAAAAATATATGAGCGAAACGTATAGCGAAGCACCGGACGTTGAAACGGCAAGAAGATTGTTGGAATTTGGCGATGATTATAGAAATTTCCTCGACAGCCAATCGGATTGCGCATCCAGTAGCATGAGCGCCCTTCCTGGTAGTTCTGCAGTCATGCCCCGAAATCGCATGCGTCATGTACGTGCCATTCTATTATTCATATTCGATCAAGTATCCATGTTTTTTTTGTAAATTCATTTTTTTCTTTCTTTTTTTTTTTTCCGCATTTCATATCAATCGTCCATCCAATCGTTGAAAGCAGATGAACAAAAAAAAAAAATAAAAGGATATATACACAACACACATATGCAATATACACAATTATTGTGCAAGAATAAAATCTTCAATTTGGCACAATTGTGTTTCTTAATTATTTTTCTTTGTTTGTTTGTTTGTTTGTATTAAACGATTTATTTATTAAACTCTTCCGATCCTAAAGAAAGTAAATATCTGATATAGAGAAAATAAAAATTGCAGTTATCTCGTAATAAACTTCACTTTCCTGATAGATTCTTCCTTTCACTTTGGCATGGTTGACCTTGATCTTGCCAATGTGGACGGTTAAGTAGTGGAATGATTACAAAACCACTCGCGATAGGATGATGACCATGATATGATGATGATGATGATGATGATGATGATGATGTTATAAACTTGTATTGATGTTTACAGTTATAAAATGTAATTAATTTTACAATTTTGTTTATTGCTCTTTTTGTATTGTTTTGTTTCAGGAAATAACAGACACTACGGAGGACAGTGACAGCGATGTCGAGGACATAAGAAATGTCCTTGACAAATCACAATCTCAATGTGTCCTAGCTGAAAATCTTTTCGTAAGATCTAACGGAACCACCAAAGACTGTGTACGTATTTCTAATACTAATGCTGATAATAATAAACGCACCACCATCACGCTTTTGCAATACTTTAATTTACGCTTTTGGTCATGGTTCAATTATTTATGGGGTAATATTTATTGCAAAGTTATTACCATATTTTCTAAAGCTTAAGTCTTGTTGTTAGTTTTTAGTATTTAATTATTTTTATGTAAATGTGTATTACAAACAAACAAAAAAAGTAAGGTTAGGGAAGAAGAAGATGATGAAGAAGAAGAAGAATGATGAAAGAGAAAAGAAAAAGAAATATATATTTGAACAGTTGTTTGTTTGTTTCTTTTTTTTTAATTATTATTATTATTTATTTTTTATTTTGTATTTTGTATTTTATAATTTGTATTTTATTATGTATTGTTAATAGAAAATGATGATTAAATAATTAGCATCAACGAGTGTGGCCTAAAGCATGATGTGTGTGCCATATTTAAGTGCTTTTTATTTATTAATTAGAATACATAATTTGTAAGTTTTGTTTTTGTAAGTGTTTCGTGTATAAACAAAATATTTCATTGGTATGAACAAGTAAATATGTGAGAGAATGAGAGAATGAGAGAGTGAGAGAGAGAAATTTGTACAAATTAGATTTGTACAATCCAACAACGTTCATTGTATCGCAAATAATTGATAAGAAAGATAACAGCGAAATTCTTCATCGTTTGTTGTGTATTCACCTTAATGTTGTGTCATTCCTATCAAAATCGTCTGCATTTTAATCCAATCATATGAGATAGTAATAAAACAACAACAACAACAGTATTTATATTAAGATAAAAATTAATTTAAAATATACAAAGATGCGAGATGAAGAAGAAACAATTTATGTAAAAGTTGGGTACCATTTTTTTTTTCTTGTACAAACGTTACATGAAAACAAAATAAAAAATAAAATCTTTTTTATGCTTTTCACAATGGACGTGCTTGATATAAAAAAAAAAATAAAAAAAAAAAATAAAACAAGGATGCATTGTTTCAATTTCGTTTTTTGTTCGTTTAATTATCTATCATACGTTTATCATAAATAATATTTAATTAATTAATGGTTAGATCAAAAATTCATATGCTTTAATATTTAATGTCCACCACTACCACCACCACCACCATTACTGTGTATTTGTTAAAAGTATTGCAAAACAACAAACAAATGTTGTATGTTCGCGCATGTGTATTTGTTTTATTGAAATAAAATTCAAATGAAAATAATTCGAATATTAATAATGAAATATTTATATATTTATATATATATATATATTATTAGATTGATTTGATTTTTTTTCTTATTAATCCTGTTCGCAGGCTGAAGTGGAAAATGCGTGCAGGGAAAATTTGAGATGTCTGAACACTTTGCTAGAATCGATCAGCGGTTCTTCATTCAGGACTGAAAAATATACGAAACAAGTTCGTGGTGAGTATAATCTAATTAAACGTCGTCAATTTATTATTATTATTATTATTATTATTATTAATATTTTCTTGATTATTATACTAAGTAGTATTTTATTAATGTTTGTTTCCTAGCACTGATCCAATTGTTTTCATATATTTTATTCATTACCTTTAATTTACCTCCATTTAATATTGTGTTTTTTTTTTCTTTTCCCATTTTATTTAGAATTTGTATTCAATGGCATGATGAGAAATGTCTTTTGCACGATTTGATTTAAGTACTTGCATGTTTTTTTTTTTTTTTTTTCTTGTTCACCCTGTTGTTGTACATTTCTCTTAGAAGTATGTTTTATTTGATAAATGTGTTGTTGTTCATTGTGTGTAACGATTGTATTAATAAACAAAACGGATTTGTTCATTTTTTTTTTGTTCTCTACGAAAGAAGGATTTACCTATTTAATAAAACAAATTAATAATATTTCAATTTGTTTTTAAACTCGACACAGACAGGATTTGTACGAATCACGTAGTAGTAGTGTCGTATTGCGCGGGCGATTTAAAAGTTTGAAACTTGATTAAACTGGTCTCTCCATTTAAAGTTATTTTCAATAGATTTTTTTTTTTTCAACATAAAGTTTCTTAATGTTAACTATGATTTATTAGATACACACACACACATACACATATATAAATATATTTAAATTGTATGATAAGTGTATCCATTGAAGTAAATCAATTGGAAATGCATACATATACATATATACATATATTTCACAATTTTTCTTGTTTATTTTTTCTTTGTTTTTTTTTTTTTAATTAAAACAGTTAGTACACACACGTGTGTGTGGGTGAAAATACGTGGGCGAGTTTGCGCGCCTTGTATTTCTTATACATTTGTGCAAGAATATGTACATATTATATATATATATGTGGAAAACGGTGTGGTGGGCCCGTCTCTCACCTTATAAGAGCGAAAGCACACGAACATAGTGTTCGAGTATTTTCGCCTAACCGCGAAATGGCACTCGATCTCAGACGCGCGTTGGAACACATTCGTAGTAGTGGTAACACAACGTATTCAACACGACATACATTAACTTCAATATTTTCTTTATAATCACTTTTATTATTATTATTATTATTATTAAACATTAACGTGATTGATTTGACATAATTTTATTAATAAAAAAAAGAGAAAATGCAGTTGCAAATTTGAGTGAATTTTTTTTTTTTCAAAATAACAATTTGTCATGTGAATCTTATTTTGAAAGAAGAAACTGAAAAAAGCAAAAAAAAAAACAACATAAATTAAAATTCTGACGATTGTAATATAAAAGCAAAAAAAAGAAAAAAACCAACGTATATTATTTAATATATGTGTGTTTACATTTTGATAAGAAAAAAAAAACAGAAATTTGTCAAAAGATTTAACGTTTGATTAAAAGAAGAAAAAGAAAAAGAAGAAGAAGAAGAAGAAGAAGAAGAAGGGTGATTGGCTATGATCGTTAAATCGTCTGACGTCAAAGATAACGGCAAGAAAAAAGGTGAAAACCAACGACGTATGTAACATTGACATTTTACAGTATATATATATATATATATATATATATAT